AACCCTTAAATAACAGGAAAGACACATGAGATATCCTTGAAAGTACAATATGGGCATTATGACAAAATACAAAGACACAAATCCGAAATGCAAGTCCAACAAGGCCCAAATAATCTGGTGTGTTAGCACTGACACAATTTTAACCGAGCATAAGAAATGTTTCACTATCAATAATAATGTCAGCGAAAATACAATCTGTGCTTAAGCTGTTGAAATGGTTGATACTTTAGTGTGAAAGAACAGAGTGTTTCATGTTTCAGCCCTCTGTAGTGAGTTTCATCAGCTCACATGATATTAATACTATCCACATCAAAGTGTGAAGAAGTTTTAAATTGATGATTGAGATGGTTTAAAGACCCTGATTGAACAAATCTGTCTTCACACTCCACACATTCATTTAATCTGTCTCATTCTGTTTCAATCCAAGAATTCCAATTACATTTGTTACATGGATTCATGTTGCTCTTATGTTCATTATTATGACTTTGGTGATCCCATAACATTTTATCAGGAAAAAATAATAATATTTGTGCAATACTGCTTTATGACCAACTACCTGCACACATAATAAGCCTCATGATGACACATTTTCATCTAGGGCCCCAATTTGGCCATGGGCAGCCTTTTGTGGGATATAGACAATTAATAATAAAAAGCTCATGTTAATAATGTTTGCCAGATAAGCACTGCCAAGTTTAAGGCCACTGACAATTGTCTCCATCATTTCAGAAATATTTGTTTATCAAACCTTCAAACTGCTCTTCAATGAGAGACAGGCACAATTGTCTTGTATATATAACAGCTATTTTAGAGCAAGGAGAACAGAGAAGAGATGATACAAATGTGAAAACAGACGAAAGCGCCATCTGAAGGAAATAAATAATAACATGTTACATGAGTCATCAATCAATCAATCAATCAATCAATCAATCAATCAATCAATCAATCAATGTTTATTTATATAGCCCAATATCACAAATGTTACATTTGTCTCAGTGTCTTCACAGTTTGTACAGAATATCAGTATGACAACATGACACCCTCCTTAGACCCTCACATCGTACAAGGAAAAACTTCCAGAGAAAAACCCACAGTTTAACGGGAAAAATGGGAGAAACCTCAGGGAGAGCAAAAGAGGAGGGATCCCTCTCCCAGGACGGACAGACGTGCAATAGATGCCGTGTGTAAATCGAAAAGATAACACATTTGCAACTTAGGTAGACCAAATGTTTGGAAATGCATGTGTCTATAATAAGAAGATGAATCCACGAGGATGTCAGCAATCTTGTGGGAGCCATCGGGGAAGTAGTATGGTGAGAGTCAGGCAGAACCGCAGAGACAGGTTCAGCCACGACTCGAAGTCCAGGACTCAGATCCAGTGCTCAGGATAGAGGATCCAGGACACACGACCACAGCAACAGGATTAGCCTCGACTCAGGATCCCGGCGTATATATGGACACAAAAAAGAAATTTGGGGAAGCTGGGTTAATCGGAACATGAGAGTACACAGGTACAAACAGCCAGAAGGACGGAGTAAGGTGCCCCCCCAACAGTCCAAGCCTATAGCAGCTAAACTAACGTGTCTACATACAGTACATGCACTCCCTTAGGATAGGTTGAGGGAAAAGGGTAGCAAGTAAGAAGTAGGAAACAGAGGTGGAGAGGCACACGCAGGGAGAAAGGTCCCCACTGGAACCTGAATTGGTTAGAGGTATAGGAGTAGGTCAGTGGCTACATTCCACACTCCCGGGCCGGGCTACGCCTTCTCTGCAACCTGTTACCCTCTAATAGAACCTCGAGAGGTCAGAGAGGGGAAAGGTTTTTGGATAAAGTTTGAAATATAAGATCTAAGTTTTTAGGATTAGCACATCAAGTTTGTTTATTTATACAATATGATAATTCTTTCAGTTGGTGTCGGGTCTCACCATAGAGGCAGCAGTGCTTATGTGTGATTCTGAACTCTAAGTGTGAGTGGGAAAGAGGTTTTTCACATCTAATCTTTAAGAAAACAAGAAACTGATTAAGTTTGACCTTTAGTTTTTTTTACAATATTGAGCACACTATTAATGTATAATTGTGAAAAAGTAGTTTGCCAAAAACTAAACAACTAAAAGCTTCACGTTTGTGGTGCATTTTAATTATTTGTTGTCACCTTGTGTTTCTTGTGGTTGTTTTCTTGATTTGGAGCACATTGAACTCTGTCTGTTAGTTCGTGGTAGCCTTAATTCAGTTGCCAACCAAGAAGACCATACTGAAGTTTTTGGTCCATCCAATTTATTAAAGGATGCAAAACAACAATATACGAGCAAGATCACACGGTCAACAAGGTTGACAACAAGGTATCTGAATAAAATCACCCTCTGTCTTTCCACACAAGCCCATCACTAAATACCTTAAAACACTCCCATGTGTCAATCGCAGGAATTGACTAATTACAACTGTGTGCAATGTAAACAAATCATAACAATAGAAATAATCAACAACGGCTTAGTAAGCATTAGACTCCTACAACTTTATTGTCGCTTACGATTTTTTGTGTTACTTTAAATTGTATGCATTCTTTTGTGCTTGATGGTACTTTTAAGGAAGTGAAGTTGTTGACTTAGGTTCAGGAGCGGCCACGCCTCAATCCCATCTCTTATCACTGCTAAGTATAACTGGTCCAAACACCTGGCCATTGTTGGTCTCCATTCTCTCAACCCACCCTCACTCTCCCTTCTCATACATTACCCTTTCTACTCATCCTTAACCAAACACCTTCATCCTTTCCTTCCCTTCCTTTATCCGTTCATCCCTTCATCCCTTCATCCCTTCCTCTCTACACCTCCTCATCCTCTCCACTTGTCTCCGGGTCTATTTGTATACAACTTGAGCAATCTTTTAAAGGTGCAGTAATAATAATAATAATAATAATATAAGAGATGTATTTTGTTAGCGCTTTTACAGGTGCTCAAAGTCGCTTTACAAAGATAGCGAAAAGAAAAGAACAACAAATAAATATAGTTAAAGTCAAATTAACATCAAGCAATACAAAATCAATCACACATTAAAAGCCAGATTGAAGAGGTGAGTGTTTTGAAGGTGGTGAGGTCAGTGCAGTCTCTGATGGGTTGGGGGAGTGATTTCCAGAGGGGCTTAATCAGCCTGAGCTGTCAGAGACAGAACCCCCCCTCTGAGTCTCCCTCTGCCCGGACCACAGCACGTCCCCCCAGACCAGACCAACAGATGTCATTCGCCATCAACGTTTTAACACCCCTTTCAATTTCTATTCACCGTTACTTCCTTCATTAAATCTACAAATACACCACAACAGTGTGATATTTGTAGATTTAATGAAGGAAGTAACGGTCTTGCTTGTAAAATGGTCCTTGTTCGACGAGCAATGTTAACTGTGTTTCATGGAGACTGAACTCCCTTCTCTTTCATTTAATCTATTATTACTTAGTTCTTTACTGGAGAATAAAAGTAAAGCAAAAATGATTCACAGCAACAAGGAAAGAAACATATGTCCTCAATAAAAGCTTGCCAACTGGAATTAAAAAAACGAATGTGGCAGTTATATGGTATGAATCTTAACCAATAGACCACAACCTGTCTTTTTTTGTAAAAAGATGGTTATGAGCAGTGACAATAAGAGTCATATATGTCACATTACACAACTGTTTGTATTGAGACAACAACATGTGCAAAAATAAAATAAATACAGCTCTATGTTCTCATATTAGGATTTACACGTAATAAATCAACTCCTCTGCCTTAGGCTCTGTCTGGTGCCGATGTTATTGAGCCGTTTACACCCAGCACTGTCATTCTCAGGCAGCAATCTATTTCAGACTGTTTCATTTGTCACCCGCTCTGTATCTCCATCCATCACACTCTCTATCAACCTCCGCTTCTTTCTCTGTGTTTCCATCACCATCTCTATCTGTAATTCTTTACTTCTCTGTCAAATTATCCAACACAAAGAAACATTTCTCCGAATGGCCGATTGCTGCCGGTTGTAACTGTCTCACTTATACACATGCAATCTCTACCGCAATCGGAGGTAATCCCCCCCAAGGAATCAATAACAGATCCTTTGCTGTCTGGAGGAAGTATTGCTCTTCAGGATCTAAGAGTATAGTCTTTTTGTCAGCCCAACCTATAAATGTTTTTGGGTGCCCAGTGGTTTCAAAAGTGTTTCAAAATACCAAGTGCTGAAGGTTTCTCAAACTATATTTGAATTAACAATTTCTATTTATCAAAACGAAAATAGTTAGGAAAGCATTCTTTAATCTCATGACATTACAAAGGACTAACATGGTAGTGAAATATTTATGAGGATAACCGATTTTCAAGGGAATAAAGGGACAAACAATGTGTGTTTAGTTTGATCAACGGCATAAACAGGAAACAGTTTGTTGACTTCCCAAATGGTTAAGCAAACCAAGTAAGAAAGGACTAAGTCAACAGTTTGTACCTGTCTCGTGTGCATTATTGATGACTTCTGACAGGTAGAAGAGAGAAAGGTATAAACACACTCATGTGATATACAATGATTCTGTGAGAAAAAAAGAGAGGGCTTTGGAATATAAGTCAACTAAAACATCAATGAGGACTTCAAAAAATATGCTATTAGAGGGAACCTAATGGAAACATTCAGTGAGAATATCAGTATAGGACTATACTATTGATTAACTCTATTGCAGTGTTATTTTGTTGTCACTTGCAAAGCGCTTATAGTGTCAGTGCGCTACGAATGATTACATTCTAAGACGGTAGAAGCTCAGTATATGAAATGAAATCGCTCTATTGAAATGAGAATCAGCCAAAACAGTTTTATGGTTTTCTCTTAAAGCAGAGATCATAGATTCATCTTGTGACTCATCAAGATAATATATGGTGCATGATGAAGATTATAAATGACCTTCGAACACACCTCAGACATGTTAAAGACATTTCAAAACATTCAAAAAGATTGACTAAATATCTATAAATGGGTTCTGCACAAAAAGAAAACCTTATTTACCATTATTTGGTTATTTATTATTATCATAGCAGAGATATGACACATGAGGGTACATTCCAGTTGCATAAACGATCATGATTGGCTTACAAGTTTTGATATCACAACATTTATTCGTGTATGTCTTCAACTCAGATTTAAGGGTTAGGCACTTCAGATTGATGTTAGCATCATTCTGCAGTGAAGGTCAAACATCCCAGTAAAAAAAAAGACAAAAGGCATAACACAGTTTTGTTTGAAGAAGAGGGACTTTAAGTCAAAGCTGCAAATCCAAATCGAAATGTTGACATTAAAGCTTAAATAAGAGGTTAAAAATATTTCCCATGAATAAAATAAAGATATTTTCTTGAGTTTTAGGTCAGTCTAATCTGAATGAATGTTCTGCAGGTTAATCTTCTTTCATGCGTGTGATGTGGTAAACAGCCTGGGGCAGCTCCTGGGGCTCAGATTGTGCTGTGACAGTCTCTCTCTGCTTCTTAATATAACTACTTCCTCTGCAGCACAATTGGGATTTAATCATGAGCCCGCCCTGGTTATTGACAATGAAGGAGCCTGGCAGCAACCCGTTGGGTGTGACGTCACAGCTCATTGTCAGATCCACGTCATTCTTCAAATATTGACTGGGATCTTTAAAAAAAAAAAAGAAGGAAAGTCAAATCATGTGCGTTATAAAAGTGTTTAATGCGGTTACAAAAGAAAAATATGCCATCACTCCACTGCTTTACAAAACAATAATGATGTTTATTATCATGATTTCATACACAAAACATTAATCTGAAATCAAATACGTAGTTCAAGTTCAAAACACAGATTTTTGGATTTGCCCAGACGAAGAATCATTATAATATTCCCATAATATTGCTGTTGAGACTGAACAGTGTGTACGTGGTCCTCGGTACTTAATTAGGTGCATTGTGGGTTCTTTATAAACTCCTACGTCACAACAATGATCCTGTGGTTTTCCTACTGACATTAGGTGATTCTGAATATTAATAAGCTTTATGGGTTTTTATGGTCATCTCCTCGCCAATATCCTAGTTTTTTACCTCACTTTAAAATATATATGCTGCTTATTATTGAACTATTATACTTCTTTTTCGTACGGGTTGGGCAGTGACCCCACCTCCTCAGCTGTTCCATAAAAAAATATGACAGTATTTACAAAGGAATCGAGTGAAGTTTTCTCTTTGCAGTGCTACATTCAGATCCAGCGATGCTCATAAGCACTTTAGCAGGAAAAAGTTGCAGAAAGCTCCCCGGGGACAGTCGCACATCTTGCCGATCCGAGCGCCTTTACGCACGGCGCACTGCTCCCCGATATCACACTGAGAGATAAACAACAACAGCAGAGGTTTAATTAGTTTCTCATTCCCTGCCTCGACACAATATCGATCAATCAAATTTGTTTGAGTATTTATTATACCGTTGGGACTTGGCCAAATTTCTTTTCCCATGAAGGCAGTCGTTTAGCCTGCAGCTTTTCCAGAACTTCATGGAGAGCTCCAAGCTGTCCGCAGAGAACAAATAAATAAAAGTTCTTGAATGTACATGTTTTATTAACGTAAACGGGTATAAACATAGAATAGCATCATAGTCAATTAACGAAATAGCAAAACGATTATCATACACAAATACAATAAATAATATTGTAATGTTATATAACAACATGTAACACAGTAATATATTTGTGTTTAAAATGAAACAATTGAATTTGATAAAATGTCAACATATCAGCTCTCGATAGGCTATAAGTTAGATGACACGAGAAGATCTTAAATGCATGCATTTTTCTATTTAGTTTGGTTTATTTAAAGAGACCAATTGTCATATTCAACACAACTAAAATGCAACAAAAAAAAGGAACTACAAAAAAGTGGCTACACTTTGATATGATAACATTATAAAACCTGTTTTTCTTGATGGTTAAAAAGTAAAGTTGCATGGTCTTCCTGCATGCACTGAGATAAAAGTGGAACTTACCAGCTGCTTCTCACTGGTCAGGTTCGGACCTTTGGGGTAGAAGTCCCGCAGAGCTCTGGGGCTCAGCTCCTCTTCGGACTCGGTGTCCAACACTTCGGCTCCTCTGGTGCTGGAGAGCAGCAGCAGTGCGCAGAGCAGCGCCTCGCTCAGCAGGCTGGAGGTGGTCTGCATGGTCCCGATGTGAGGCAGCATGTGGCCCTTTGCGCGTCTCAAATAGTCGCTCCCCCGCGCAAAACACCTTTTTATCTGAATGCTGTCATCTGCTCGCTCCACCTTATCCTTTCAGTTTTTTTGTGTCATGCGTAACAGCTGCCTCGAGTGAGTCATCTCGTAAAAGTTGCTGGGCAAAATGTGCCTCAAAAAGTCAACAAAAACAACATCAGCGCTGCAATGGATCGTTACTGTAATGGATTACTCGTTATATTGGCAGATGATCATTTCATGGAGTTAGATAAACATTAGGACAATTAGCTGATAATATGTTGGTGTCTGCCATGACATTGTATTTATTATAATATTATATTTTTTAGTCAAAATACTTTTTTTATTGAAAATGTGTATTGGGTTAGAATCAATTACTTTAAGTCAAAGCAAAGATGTGCTTCAGTCACACAGCAGGCCTGAGCACATGTTTTATATTCTATGGTAATCAGCACTAAGTTCATTTAATTATTTTCTATTTTATTTCAGAATGCCATCTGCAGCCTCTGCTGCAGATAAACTTGGTGACTCAGTCAGTGCTTTCTGCTGTAAATGAGCAAAAGATCCAAACAGTGCAGGCATTCAACGCCCTTGTTATTCTTTGTTCAGTAGAAATCAAAGCACCGATGCAACCCCCCACCCATATGAAAGTCAGGTTTCTCACTGTGAAATTTGATTTGACTTTTTGAATTCACTTTTTGTCTGATGTGCATGGGACTGAGGGCCAGATGAAGAAACTGAGTTTTTGAATACCAGCTTTAATGAGCTTTTATAGAAATGAATTCAGCAGGTTATGTCATTAGTACCAAACACAGAGATACATGAGCCTCTTTATACTGTATGTTACATGAATATATTGTACATATCCACCACCTACACCTACACCTACACAAGCAGCCTGTTACATTAATTATACAATGTTTATTCTGTTTCCTATTTGCACTCTGCATCCTTTTCAGTTCTGTCTGACTCATAGCGTTGTGTGTTTTTGTTCTTTATGGCATTGTTTGGACATGTACCCATGCATGACAAAATGTCAGATCATGTTTATGCACAAAAATAACAAAACAACAAGGCCCAAAGGGAGACTGTGTTGCTTATGCCTATACCAAGAAAGGTCATTTTAAAGTTAACCACTCTTTTAGTGCTTTTTTAAATATTCCAGCTAAAACTCACATCCCATGTCTAACAATCGGTATCTGGTAAGACTCAGCTGTACACCACACAACCATCTCAACCATTTTCAACATGTCTTACTAGAGGTCCATACTACTTTCTCAATCAAGGCAGAAAAGGAATTCAAACTTTGGAGGAGCCCCCATTTGTTACAAGCTGGGTTGTGCTTGGAACAAAAGGAGAGGGAGTTTAGACAAAAGTATCCAAAAGGTTGTTTATATGGCAAACTGAAAAACTTGACAAAAAAAGCAAACTGGGCTGGTGTGTTCCAGGCATGTGGCATGGCAAAGAGTGTTCTGCAGCCCTTTTAAATAGACTGGAGCCAGGTGCCACAGGTGGGCCTTTCAACTGACTCCACTCTTAGGCTCTCTGCAAGACGAACTCAGATCATTAAAAAGAAACACTAAATAGTACATTCGACCACCACAGGGTCCTCACATATACAGTATATGTTTACTTTTGTTTAGCTCTGTTATCCTTGTTTGAAGTAGCTGTACATTTCAGATAAACTAGAAACAATGGTCAAATTGCTTGTACTCCAGCTGCAACCATTGTTGATTGAAATACAAATATTTGCCAACTCTTTGGATAACCGATTAATCACTCATGTAATTTTTATGCAAAAATTGCCAAAATTCTGCCTTCAGCATTTCAAATATAGATCTCTTGTTTTTCACTGTGTTCTTTCATATGAAAGTTATAACAAAAGACAAAACATGACATTCAAATTCATCACTTTGAATGTTGAAGTACTGAACCGAAAGCAGAGACAATTCGAAATGAGAACACAAACAACAATGAACAGTAACAAATAACTCTCAGTTTGATAACGGTAGTATGTTCCACTAAATGCCTTTTACTTAGTGTTTGGCTCACTAATCATTTTGCATAACCAGCACTGCAGCCGCAACGTGATATCGTTTTTACCTCTTTTACAGAAACTGTGACAATGAGTTCTCACACAATATGGACGGCAAATGACAGCTGCTGTAGCATGCATTGTATTGTTAATCCTGTGCTTAAGTTATCCCGGTTCACTGCACTGATCGCTTGTTACAGAGCCGCTCAGTTTCGGGTCCATCAGCAGACGGAGATTGAGGAGCAGGAAGCTTTGATTGTGCTCAAGGCAGCATGACTCATGGTTCTCTCTCCCCACAGAGAAACCAATTTAAAATGTTATTCACAACAACAGGGCCATTTCATTCACAACCACATTTTCATTATTTTTTTAATATCATATCCCTGAGAGTTCTACAAGAGACACTCAGATTTGTATCTCTGGTGGTTTCGGTTTACGTTAGTTGATGTGTGATCTGGCCCTTAAAGTCACCCTCAGATACCGTCAAGCATGTTTTACAGAACAAATTATATTTTGAGGTATTAATCTTAACACTCAAATATATATAATATATTCTATTTGTAAAACAGAAACTTCAGAATTACAAATGGGTGGAACAACAGGAAGTCCAGAACTAGGTTCTAAATCTGTTTCCAGTTTTAAAGGTCTCCTATCATGCTATTTTTAGGCATATATTATGGGTCTCAGTGTCACAATCTGTCTGTGTTTTGTTTTGTCTTGTCTTTTTATGTCTTTGGTTTCCTGTTTTATTTTGATAAGTGTTCACCCCCTGTATGATTACCCGATTGTGTTCACCTTGTCCCCCCTGTGTTTTCTCCTCCCTCCTCACCTGTCTCTTGTTTCGTTGATTAGTCTTGTGTGTATTTAAGTTCTGTTTTTTCTGTCTGTCATCGTTGGTTCCTTGTTTGTCTGTGACTGTGTTCACGGGTTAGTTAGTGTTCTGTTTATTCCTAAAACCTTAAAATAAAGGTATTTTTTTCTGTTGATTCTGCATTTGGGTCCTGCCTGCTTCACTCAACCCTAACAGAAGGAACCAACCAAAGATGGGCCCAGCAGATCCTTTTGAGGTGGATTTACTCTAATTTTACCTTTTCATTGGCTTGCTGCTATGGTAGGTGGAGGCGAGCGTCCAGTGTTCAGCAGAAGGAGGCTGCTCTGGCAGAGGCTCACCAGGTGGCAACAGTGGATCCATGTTTAGTGAAGTTCTTACCTGACTGGATTTTGGACTTCCTTTTGACATGTGATTCCCGGCCTGCTAGCCCCAGGCCTGCTAGCCCCAGGCCTCCCAACTCCCAACTCCCTACCTGACACCATACGTCTCGGTTTCTTCTGTCTGGAGTCAGCCCCTGCTTCTTCTCCATTTCCTGCTCCTTTCCACGATCCGTTCTCGGGTACTCATCTGGCTTTTGGAGGTCCACGGAGCCTTCAAAAGG